GCTCCAGTTATATGAAGTTCTGTCAGTAGAGAAAGTATCTATCTACCTATATCTGTCTATCCATCTACCCTCAATACATCCATCCATCTATCTACTATATACATATTTTCTATCTATTCATCTATCCATTCATTCATCATCTCAAATGTCATTCATTATTAAATTTTGCTGAATGTGTATTTGTAATAAACATACGCTTACTGTTCATAAAGTTTAATTTTATCTGTTCAAACTCAAGTTCAGATCCAAGTCAGCAAAAAACAACAACAAACAAACAAACAAAAAAAACAACAACAACAAAAAACATCCGGGAACTACGAGATTCAAGAACAGTACTGTACAATACTGACTTTTATGGAAGACCGAGTTGTTACCAAGTTTGTTTTTTTATTGAACCGATAAAATTAAAAGTAAATCTCACATTTTCAATATCTTCGTGAAACAAGACACCATTCAGTGAGGACTGAAAATTATCTGAGCTCTGGGTCAACCACATTGTATTGTAGATGAAAGTGTTCCCAATGTCGCTGAGCTCTGAGTCAACCACATTATATTGTAGATGAAAGTGTTCCCAGTGTCGCTGAGCTCTGGGTCAACCACATTGTATTGTAGATGAAAGTGTTCCCAGTGTCTCTGAGCTCTTGATCAACCACATTGTATTGTAGATGAAAGTGTTCCCAGTGTCTCTGAGCTCTTGAGCAACCACATTGTATTGTAGATGAAAGTGTTCCCAGTGTCTCTGTTCTCTGGGTCAACCACATTGTATTGTAGATGGAAGTGTTCCCAGTGTCTCTATTATCTGGGTCAAACACATTGTATTGTAGATGGAAGTTTTCCCAGTGTCACTGAGCTCTGGGTCAACCACATTGTATTGTAGATGAAAGTGTTCCCAGTGTTTCTGTTATCTGAGTCAAACACATTGTATTGTAGATGGAAGTGTTCCCAGTGGTTATATGAAATATAATCTACACAATGGGCTATTTGCGTTGTGCCAATCATCTAGGTCGAATTAAGAATTTCAGCATATAAGTCCTCACGTTCGCCCCTGAATTGCATGGGGGGGGGATGTATCGCCAGCACTTTTAGCGGTTAAAACAGTGCTGTGCCATTGTTCTGTCTCGGTCAATATATACATTGTACACAGCATCTTACCAGAAAAATGAATGCAAATTGCGCACGCTCACTGGTTATTATTATTTTTCTCTTTATATTCTAAGTATCTTATGTTAACTATAGTAAATATATGTACAATAATATGTGAAGAAGTCGGGATATCAACATTGACATTTATTGAAATCTGTACGTTTTCAACAAAAAGTCTTTTCATTGATCCTCATTTACTTATGTTCCATCTGTTCTATTAATAGCTTTTGCTGATTTAACTTTGAAAGGTTAAAACATGTCAATTGAAAAACTCAGCAGATACGATTGACAAATATATACCTTAAAACAGACCAAGTGTAAATCTCGGTGGTTGACTAGGCTACTAATACCAACAGTGCAAAATAATTTGGCTCATATTTATCACAGACCATCACGAAACGAGTTTAACTAGTATTGTTTTTATATCGTCTTGGAGACAATTTCTTAGACAGCTAGTACTCAGTTCTCTCAACTAACTAATATTTAAAAGTACAAACAATTCCTTGTATAAAAAAAAACATAGTACTAGTTTCGCGAGAAATGATTAAATTATTGCAGAAATTTAGAACTCAAGTTAACTACATTAAGATATGTCTCGGATATCCCAATCAATATGTTCACTCGAAAATAAAACTGCAAATAAGTATTGTTAAGATAAACTGTTTAAATACGGATATGGTGAGCAGTATGAATATGTATTTGTAATTAAAAACGAAGAGACTTATGAAATTTCATTCGCTGATCAGATATCTACTAGATTCACTTTCACGTTATTAGGTGTATTTTGGTACGACAACTTTTTTAAGGCAAAGCTTTGAAGATAATGATGATGGTTCTATTTTGTGTTGATACTTCCAGCTTATTACCCTTTCTCAAAAGGTATCAGACTACATATCTAATTGTGTGTTTTTGTCAGAAAAGGCGTTGTTACCACTCCACGTGATCGTAAAGATTCTAATACAAATACTTCAATATTCTAACCAACGTGATTAAAACATCCAAATAATCGTATATTTTATTATATCCTAACATCTGCTAATTTACTTTAATCGTCAAGATTTCTCCAAACTATGTTGACGATCCTCTACTTTTAATTAATTATCTATAAAGCGAACACTTGTTTGTTTGTTTGTTTTTAATTTCACGCAAAGCTACACGAGGGCTATCTGCGCTAGCCGTCCCTAATTTAGCAGTGTAAGACTAGAGGGAGGGCAGCTAGTCATCACCACCCACCGCCAACTCTTGGGCTACTCTTTTACCAACGAATAGTGGGATTGGCCGTCACATTATAATTAAATTAATGTTAATAATCTGAACCATGTCATTAAAACGTACACTTTTTAATTAATGTTAATAATCTGAACAAGGTCATTAAAACGTACACTTTAAATTAATGTTAATAATCTGAACCATCTCATTAAGACGTACACTTTTTAATTAATGTTAATAATCTGATCAATGTCATTAAAACGTACACTTTTTAATTAATGTCAATAATCTGAACAATGTCTTTAAAACGTACACTTTAAATTAATGTTAATAATCCGAACCATATAATTAAAACGTACACTTTTAGTTAATGCTAATAACCTGTACAGTAATACTAAAACATACATTTTTGATTAATGTTAATAACTTGAACAATTTTATTAAAGCGTACACTTTTTGATTAATCCGAATATCTTGAACAATATTAATAACATTAATACTTCTAGAGACTTTTATGCCAATTAATACTTTTTAATTAATATCCACAATAGAAAAAACATAAACTATAGTATATATGTCATTCTTCGTATAATTTAGTTTTATTAATATTACTGTTTATAAAATATAATTTACGTTGATTCTGCTTCTTCTTTAGTATTATTAGTTTTTACACTTATGAGAATAATTTTGAATTGTTAGGTTAATATATGACGTAGAACAAATTTAAGGTAGCCGAATATTATGAGATATTACGAAAATCATGAATTAGTGCAAACTTATCTTTATACGCTTTAGTTTTCCCTCGTGTACTGATGTATAATATTGTGTGTTTCTAGACTGGTTTTCTGTAGAATTAGTTTATTAGGTTATAAGTTAGACTTTAGCCCTGACCTATAGAGTTAACTAACTTTGACCAAACGTTAATGATAACAACCAGCCCTGCCGAATGTACTATAAATTCAAACTTAAAATTATTAACAAATATTAAGAACGTTCAGTTTATTATTTCTACTTAATGTTTTTATGTTTTAGCGCAAAGCTACATTTTGCTAACTGCTCTGTGGCGCAGTGGGGAATCGAACCCCGGATTTTAATATTGTAAGCCCGTAAACTTACCGCTGACCCAGCGGGGGGACGTTTTATTATGTAAATCAACTCAGTATATTTCTTTGTATCCAATAATCCACAGAAACATTATTATTACTAGGCAGAAGTGATGAAAGCTACCCGGATGTTTAAAGTAGTACCGTTACGGAACAAGTGCTCCAAACAATATCAGCGACTTTGAGACTTGATTTTGTTGGCCTAGCGTCTGGAATTGAATGTTATTCTCATCCATTTATAAGTTCATAATAAATATTAATTCATATTTAATTTCAATAAAATGTTATCCATATTTTTAATTTATAAATACTTTTTTGACAATCCCTTGATGTAACTGTTGAATGAAAGAACTTTCATTGGTTGAGCTATAGAACGTTAAACCCATCATGAATGAAAGAACTTTCATTGGTTGAGCAAAAGAACGTTAAACCCATCATGAATGAAAGAACTTTCATTGGTTGAGCTATAGAACGTTAAAACCCATCATGAATGAAATAACTTTCATTGGTTGAGCTATAGAACGTTAAAGCCCATCATGAATGAAAGAACTTTCATTGGTTGAACTATAGAACGTTAAAACCCATCATGAATGAAAGAACTTTCATTGGTTGAACTATAGAACGTTAAAACCCATCATGAATGAAATAACTTACATTGGTTGAGCTATAGAACGTTAAAGCCCATCATGAATGAAAGAACTATCAGCAACCATCGAAACATACGGAAGCAGCTTACAGTTTTTACCTTCTATCAAATCTATATTGTGATAACACATCCAGAATAATTGTAGTAATTAGAAAACGATCATTATACTTAGGTTTCGCCCTATAAAATCTCGTTACCAACAGTTCCGTGATTACTCCGTTTTAGACTAATTGTCATAGTCTCTTCTTTTGAACCTCGCAAGATACCACGCACCTCTGGAGAGAAGTGACACTTTCAAAATCATATAAATGTGTAATAAGCGACAATAGGAAGTGCGAAGATATAATAAGTATGAGTTCATTTATTAAACATCAGGTGCGTGGCTATATATTTGACAAAAGTTTGTGTGTTTGTCCGTTTGGAATTGGTAAAACATTTAAATGATTGTAACCAAACCTTAAATGCATCCTATACCCCTCACCCTCCAGGGAGGGGACTGACGTAGGGGTTAGCATTCGGACCTGACCCTCTATGTCACCCCTGGGTTTCCCATGTCTTCCCCGTGTATTGAACGGGTACGTCAGCTAATAGATTTTATTTCGTTTTGGTGCATAGGTAATAACAGTGAATAATATAAAAACTTGCTATATAATGATTTAACATTAACCGTGGTCAGAAAAAAACAAAAGTGGAGTAGATGACTTAAATATATACGGTTGAAATAACTCAAAGGATATCCGCGTAAAGCTACATAAGGGTTGTTTGTGTTAGCTGCCTCTAATTTTGAACTGATAAACAAAAACAGTGGTTACCAAACCGTTTTTTAGACAAAAGCAAAGTACAGTGTAAACTACCCGCGTTTCACTAGTGACTGTGTACTACCAACCTTAATATATCGTGTTTAACACATGCAACCACTAGAGTGCACTGACTGCTCTGACTGTACATGGGTCTCTTTTTCATTATACTTAAGTATTTCTTCTCCTTGTTTCTTTAGTTTCTAGCAATTCAGTGTTTTGAATAGATAGATACTAAAATACATTTCACTTGTTATGGCTCGGTCCTAACCTAATGATATAGGTCTTGAAATGTTTGTGTTTGTGGTATTATTTTAATCGAAGGTACATGTTATCCTTGACTACCAGAAGGTAAGCATTGACATGTTTCAACTTGCTTCTCTTACCATCTAATTCAGAATACCATGGTTGCTCCGTTTGGCGTCTTGGCTGGCCATGTAGACGGTTCAGCCATCGATCTGAAGTTCGCTGCCTGCATCGACCAGCTTCGATCAATAGAAACGCAATCAGTAAAGTCACTTTACAGCTCCCTTTGCTATGGACCTCTTTGTGGGGAATTCTCACGTTGGTTTTTTCGGGCGAAGTTTTATAGCGAAACGAATATTCTTCGTGAACATAACTTCATTTTACATCCGCAAATATTTTTTGTTTACGTTAGCATACACAAACTAATTTTAAATTAAAATTGAAGAAATTAGAGAAACATTGTAGTTTACAAAAATCAAGAAAATTTGAAAATAATCCGATTATTTACTAACCCTAAAACAAAAAACTGACTAGTATTTATGTTATTATAAGTCGGTTCTTAAATATATTTTACTTGAGAAAGAGCGACAAATAAGTGGATAATAAATATCTAGTCAAATTCTAAAACTATTGGGGCTCGACGGTTCGAGTCCCGTCACCGAACATACTCGCCCTTTCAGTCGTGGGAGCGTTCTAATGTGGCGATAAATCCCACTATTCGTCGGTAAAAGAATAGCTCAAGGGCTGGCGGTTGGTGGGTTGAATAGTTGCCTTTTATCTAGTCTATCACTTCCAAATTAGGGACGACTAGCGCAGATAACCATTGAGTAGCTTTGCGTGAAATTCAACAAACAAACAAAAATATTTTACCCGGAAACAAGAGACCGATTAGAATCTAAGTCATAAGAATTGTGGTTTTATAGGGATTTTTACTTGGCAACAAGAAACTGATTAAAATCTAAGCTACAATAATTCATGTTTCAAAGATATTATATTAGAAGACCAGTTAGCATCTGAGATATAATAATTCAGTATTTAAAGAGATTTGACCCGGAAACAAGAAACCGATTAGAATATAAGACATAAGAATTGTTGTTTTAAAGAGATTTGACTCGGAAACAAGAAACCGATTAGAATATAAGACATAAGAATTGTTGTTTTAAAGAGATTTTTACCCGAAACAAGAAACTGATAGAAAATATGACGTAATAATTCTTGTTTCAGACAGATTTTCACCCAGAAACAAGAAACCAATTAGAATCTAAAACATGACAATTCTTGTTTTAAGGATGTTTTTTACCCGGAAACAAGAAATTGATTAGAATCTAAGCTACAAGAATTCATGTTTTAAGGATATTATATTCGGAAAATAGAAACCGGTTAGTATCTGAGATATAATAATTCAATATTTACCCGGAAACAAGAGGTCGATTAGAGTCCAAGATATTTTAACAGGAAACAAAGGTCAAATCAGCATCAAATGAATAAGTCGAATTTTAAGGAACTACTAACAAGGAACCAATTAAGATCTAAGTTAGTATAAATGAAGATTTTAGATAGCTTTTACTTCGAAATGAGGGATCAGTTGACATAATAGATGTAAGAATTATATTTTGAGTAGCTTTTACCTTGAAATGAGGGATCAGTTGACATAATAGATGTAAGAATTATATTTTGAGTAGCTTTTACCTTGAAATGAGGGATCAGTTGACATAACAGATGTAAGAATTATATTTTGAGTAGCTTTTACCTTGAAATGAAGGATCAATCTGTACGCATGTTGAACCTTTATCACAAAACGAGGACCATTAATGAAAAAAGAATCCTGGTCTTTAAGTATTTGTATAAAGAACCCAATTTGTCTTTAAAACCAAGAGTGTTCGGGTTTGAAGAGCTTACCAATTACCGTTTAACAGATAAATTGTGGTTTTTAAAGAGTCCTTACGCAGAAAGAAAGGACCAATTAATATTTAAAACACAAGAAGCCGTTTTTAGAAGAGATTTATCTGGAAAAGGCCCAAGTTAGCGTCTACATCATAATCTTCCGTGTCATATAGATTTACTAGAGGTAATATAACCCGGACATTGAGATTGTTTTAGCACAAAGACATACGATGGACTATATGCTTTTTGTCCACCGCAGGGAATCAAACTGTGAATTTCAGCGTTGTCAGTTCGTAAATTTACCGCTGACCCAGTGGGGTACTGGAAACAAGGCCCAAATTAACGTCTACAATATAAATATTCAGATGTTAAAGAGGAAATATAGGGATAATTGAAAGTTTAAATATTATAGATAACGGTATAGTGTTTGCGTTATTTTTCTAGCGCAAAGCCACACAAATGGCCTATATGCGCTCTGTCCATCGCGGGAATCGAATCATGTGTTCTAACGTCGTAAGCCGTAAGTCGTACCTCTGACTCACCGGTAGGGGCAAACTGAACCATTGTCATCATAATACACTCTTATACAAATTTTAAACTCGTGAAAAATACTGTCCATATTTATTTATTTGTTATTGAGCTCAAAGATGCACAACTGAGCCCACCATATGGATCGAACCCCGAATTTTAGCGTTATAAGCTCTCAAGCTGAGCCACCGCGCGTTATTTTGTTGAATTATGTTCTATTCTATTTTCAGAATGACATGAAGCAAATTCAGATCTGCCACTCTTTTTATCTTTTTAGTATTGTTTAAAATCTGATTGTCTGAATATCGTTCGAGAAATCAAAGTGAAAAGCCAAAAACATTCAACGTCCTAACACAGTATGTACCTAGACACCCAATATTTTGTATCTTGTCGCCCATATTATCTTCTGCTTTGGTAATGTCACCATAAGCACTTCCAGTTTGTGTTTTCACAATTGTTATCATTACCACGTTCGTCAAAAAAAAAAAAGAATCAATTGAGAAATATTAGGTTAAGTAAACGTTTAACAACTAAATAAAAGAAAGGGATAATAGATTATGTTTGGTATTTCGGCCTAAATTACCACGAACTGCGAGGATACCCAACTGATACATAAATGCATTCTAATCATTACAGGTTTTTGTTTTATGATATTTTTTGTTTGTTTGTTTGGAATTAAGCATAAAGCCACACAATGGGCTATCTGTGCTCTGCCCACCACGGGTCTCGAAACCCGGTTTCTAGCGTTGTAAGGCCGCGGACATTCCGCTGTGCCACTGGGGGGGGGGGGTGTTTTATGATATTGCTTTTTTGGTGGATTAGTATATTAAATTATCTCCATTATTTACTGGGTTAAGTTAATTTGTACTTCTACGTATACAGGTGGCTTACTTGGACCAGAAGTTATTGATAATGAGTTTGATACGACATTTTTTATTAACTGGCATTATTTAGTACATAATGAATATTAACTTCTGATTAGAGCAAGAATAAATCAGAAGTAAAAATCAACACAGTCTTAAATATAGCTAAACTAATATGTTCGTATTTATAATGAATGCATTGTTTCATCATTTGGTTACTTTCGCTGCTATCGATGTTTTCGGTCGTAATCCTAATTTTGTAAAAACACGCCAAGTCTTATGCATTTACAGTATCCAATGAAAAGTGCTATTGTTTGATTTTAACCAGAAAGCTAAACAATGGGCTATCTGTGGTGTGTCCAACACGGTGTTATAATCCTACAGACTCCCCGCTGAGCCACTGGGAGGCTAGAAAATATTAGGTAGATAAACTATTGTTATGATTGTATTTATAAAGAGTACATATCCGAATTGTGTTTCAGAAAAAAAAAAGAATTAAACATCGAAATTATGTGACATATGTAGCTTTTATTTTGCAAAAAATGGAGATAAATGAAGCGGCAATATGATATTCGTTATTTATCTGAGCGTTTTTTAGCTCAATGTTAGCTTTCGTGATGATGATAATTTGTACAAGAGAGGATAGATGATATCAATAGAAACAGAAAAAAAGAATGATCTTAGTCAAATTCTTTTAACTAGTTACTTCCTTAGCGAACTGTATCCTAGTCACGATAACGATCGCTGTAGCTGCGATTGACGCCCATTTTCACGACTATGGAAAAGAGAGACACATAATTTCATCATCATTTGATGAGAGAGGAAGTTCCAATTTCATCAATCAACTTGAATTGGTAGAAGAGACAAGGTACTGCTCCCTGCAAGGGATCTTAGCTGTGTTCTAGTCCTCGCTATGGCTTTGGAATTGATGGACTGTGATGAGTGTTTTACGTCATTACAATATCACACGATTCTCTTTTACTTTCTCTACAACTTGTTACATAGACGTCATGTGAAGTAATCAAAACTGGCTAAGAAATAAAGTTGCTTTTCAAGATAACTTACTTTTATGGTGTTTCAAAATCGAGACCAGGTGGGCTATAAACGATAGTTTGTACCCTGTATTAGACAGATTTAATATTAGTTTGCTTGTTGTTAACCGTGTTAACCATATCTTCATTTGCCCGTCGTAGGGATCGAACTCCAATTTTAGCGCAATAAATCCTTTAACTTACAATTGAACCATCGAGGAGCTTAAGTATCAGAGCCTTAAGCCTAATGTGACAACCAAATAATAATAATATTTGAACATAGAAACAACAGGATAAACTTACACAGTGTCAATTACTCCAAAACGTGTGGGGATATTCAACGACATAAACTAGTCTCTCGCTAATTTCAGTGTAGTGTGTAAACAACGGACAGTTTGTTGTTACTAAAAAAATGAACTTGATCCACTTGTAGAATCGATATTGAAATTTTTATTAAATGAAATCTCAACGTTCAACATTGATTAATTTATTATGTCACTGTTACTTAGAGCAAGATTGAAATTGTTTTTTGGACATAACCGAATGTTTCCCTAATCTTCTGAAAACATTTCAGCATCTCTCGGGTAACTGAAAATAAATAACAAACCAATAGGTTTCTTTTC